ATATATATGTATATATGTGCACAGTAGGCCTAATACTTATGACAATTTTAGCCTTGATACTTGTAAGAAAACTATATTAATTTCGTCTGTTTGGAGAAGTGCATAACTTGTTGAATGGCCGTCTGTGGGGCTATCTTGTGTTTGTGATAGCCTCATGCGCACATTGTGTTTAGAAATAAATTACATTCATGTCATAATAGACTTTCCTCTCGAACGTTTTGATAGGCATATAGAATAAGTTTGGTCCTTAATTACTAGCATTGACTTTGTCCCCTTTGTTAAACACAAGAATCGTCTTAATTTAGATTAATACGTAAATATTCTATTTCAAAATATTTATAAGATATAGCTTATAAATTAATAAGCAGATTAATATATAATAATAGAAACAAATGTAATTTACTGTTAATGTAAATGGATTTTATAGAGTTTCTCTTTATGAAAGAAACTCTAGAGTGCTTGTATACTTTACTTTTAACTGAACATCTTATTTCTATTACTATGTGTACTAGGTTTATGGATGTTGGCCCAAATTTAGTGTGTATAAGACAATCGTCGTATATCCGCATCTGGAGCGTAGTTCTAGTGTATTAGGCATGTTATATGTTAATCTGCCATCTTTTTGTAAACTTCTACTTCTATTTCAACACTCGTCAAGCCTGTGCAGTATCTGGAGGAAGGTGAATTTCGTATATTGTGAACTTGTGACAGTTGAAGCGGATATTTGTCTACACGATGGCTTTGGGTATCAATAAAAGAAATTGAATTGAACTTTAAATCCCACGTCAAGCCCATAATATAAATAGAAGTTCTAAAATGTTTAGTTCAGTGTTGTTCTGATTAAATATAAATTAAGCCTGTTTAATAAAAACGTTTCTAGTGGTACCAATAACGTAAATTTAGGTGTGTAAACGTAACATAGGGTATTCCATTTAGCCGTGTAAACGTAACAGGGAAAATATTACAAAGGTTGCATTTAATAATTGTGGTTTACATGATACTAATATTTATTTAACTTTATTTTAAGTTTGAGTTTATGAAGAGAGTTTGATGTGATTGTGTATCTTTGTTTATATGTACAGTATTTGTGTATTTTTCTCCATACCGTTATTCACGGTTTCTATCTTTGTTGATTGCTGATTTAAAAATAATAATAATAAAGTGTGGCGTCGTTTTTTCGGCATACGCCCTAGCCATAACATCTGCAAGTTGTGTTCCTCCAACTATACAACTTTGCTGTTAAAACGTGTCTTTTCCTTTGGTCCCCTTCTTGAAAGGGTTGAGAATGCAACAATCATATTATATTTTCAATGTTATACATTTTATGATAGAGTACAGCCGTTTTCGCTTTGCTTTTTCCTAACAGTTTCTGCTTCTTATGCCCTTGACATTTTTCCTAGAATTTTAAGTCTTTTTTTTAAATATTTGATACTTCAGGTGTATCATATATTTTCTTCAGCTTGTTGACTAATAATTTTACTGCTAGTAGCATTTTGCATAGTTGTAACAGCCTGAATTAGTGGCGTTTTAATTTTCGCCTGCAGTATTTTGCTTTACATGGTCATATTCATTGTAATTAATTATATATTTGGTATACATTTTGTTTTTTAATATCAGAATTTCAAACTTATACTTAAATGACTATTGAAAAGTAACTTTCCTTTTAGTTGCACATGTTCTAGTATAATACTGGCACTGATGTTCCCAGCGTGCATAGACAGTTACTAATAGAATATAAAGCAATAAATTAGGAAATGACGCAATCAATCGTTCTACAGCAATATCACCAATTGTTTGGTAAAAACTATGTGGACACAAACATGTGCTGTAAAGACTAAAATTTCCAATACTACAGAAAGTGCCATGGTGTAGTGGCATCAGCATCCATTCAAATTTTGTCAATAGCGAGAATGTAAATATTATAATTTTTAAAATATAGATAGGAACCAATCTCTGTGTCCTGAAGAGAATAAACCTTAGTTAGACTGAAGATCAGTTTCCATACAATCACTACACCATTTTCACTGCAATCCTTGCACTGTGTAGCTGTCCACGACACAATCGGGAATGCTCCCGAATTCAACTGACCAACCAGGAGTCAGAGATAGCGGTGTAGCAATTTTATGGAAACCAGGCTTAAAGTAGACTTTTGACAAAACCAGCAACAGTAAACTTAGTTTCAAAACTTGTGTATGAGTTTTATTTCAAAAGTTAACAACTTTACCCAATAGTGTATCAGTGGTAGTAAGCAGAAGTATTTTCACATTAATGTAAACCCATCCAGTTTAGGCTATTCAGGTTTCTCAACCTACATTTTATCATTAAATAACACTAAAAAGATTTTTTTTTCCATCTTCAAATTTAATTTTTCTTTTTAAAATAAAATCATTTCCAGAAATGATTGCAAATATTTAAATTATATCATTTTATGTTTCATCAATCAATGCATACAGTGAGAAAGGGTGGGGTATTAGTTATAGAATCTTATACAAACTAAGCATTTACAATGGACCAATGCTAATAAATGATGGTGAACAACTATAACAATGTATTATTTTTATTAAATAACATTTACTTGTAAGTTTTGCAAATCATTATTTGTATGTAAATTGACAAGAAAAGTACAGTTTAAGGTTTGTAGAAAAGACAAGACTGTCTTCAAATTTGTTTTCTTATCACGCTAGTAAGTTCTCGATGTACTGCAACTTTTTCCTGGGACAAGGAAAACAAAAGTAATTGGAACAAAAGTAGCCTAAGCTTAACAACGACGGATTAGCAACGATAAAAATACCACAAAGGGTAAACCCCTAATTAGTATGCACATCTTATGATTTAATTATTATAACATTAAAGAGTAATTGTCCAATGAATTTAAAATAGCAGTGAGCCCATGCCTCCCATTTCACTCTGCTCTTTAACAAAAATCTCAAAGTATTGGTAAATAATTGTGACAGCCAGAAGAATACCAGTTCCAGAACCAATGGCGCCAAGAAGATCAGCCATGACAGATAGGGCACCAATACATAAACCACCAAATGCTGCAGCCGTTGGGATATATCTAAAACGACAACAAAAAATATTTTTTTATTAGATCAATGAAAATTACCACAGATTTTTGAGGCATACTTGATCCTTCTTATTGTGAGGTGATGATCAGAGGTCTCACTTGATCCCACCTTTTGCCAGGGCCCGATTAAAGGGCTGTGGGGTCTGGGGCTGTAATTGCAAGTGGGCCTAATACTCTGTGGCTATAACATAAAACCAGATTTTCTGTGATTTTTCCTGGGGTTTGGGGCATATTTTTTCCCATTGGTGCTGGTGACCTAAAAGCCCCTATGTTAATCTGGCCCTGCCTTTTGTGAGGTGATGATCAGTGGTTTCACTTGACCATACCTTGTGATCTGAGATTATTGGTTCAGCTTAATTCCATCATTTGGGAGGTTAATATTAATAAGGCATACATGATCATATTTTCTGAAGGGAAGATCTATTCTTTATGTTTGACTGAGAATATAGTATTATTTAGGTAAGAGTTTGGGGGGATATGATGGGACACTAATGGAAAAACAGCAGTTACCAATAAAGTATTCACAAAAAAGATTTCCCCTTTTTTTGCAAATAAGTTCAATCAGAAGGCTTACAAAAGGATGTTAATGTTAATTGCACATTGAAAATGTAGTGAGCAATTGAAAATGTTGGAATGGTGACTAGATACTTACCTGTTCAATTCATGAATCATAGATTTTTCCCGATGACCTCGCATCACCATCTGCTGTTCTTTGAGTTGTTTAGCAACCTGTTATCGAAAATCAGGAAAAGGAATTGTTAAATTTTAGTTTTAAGCTTTTCAATGGACTGGTTATTTCTTTCTTGGGTATAAACTTCATTAATTTGGTTTAGTAATAAATTGCTTTTTATACTTAAATTGAAATATATGTCTTCTTGATTATTTTTTTAAAGCCTAAATTCTTTTCCGCTCTTATCATGATCTCAATATACTCTGTAATTTTACTGTATCTCATCATTAAACTTAATGTGAAATATAACTAATAACACATTGGTTTTATTTGCAGTAATTTAGACATTGAATTGAATAATGTAAGTAAAGTGCAACTTACATCCTTTGCTGATGACCCTGATACATCAATCCAGGTTTTAGAGAAGAAGGCACAGGAACCGAGCATAAAGATAATATAGATAAGAGCATGAATTGGATCTCCAACCATATGTGAAAAATTTTCAGGGGGTGACATATAGTAACATAAACCTCCTATAGGATATGACCGTGCCGGACCACCATCACCAGAATCCTGTTGAATAACAATGAATATGGTATTACAATACTGACAGAAGATTTCATATTCAAATAATAGCATTGTGCATATTTACGATACATTTAACAGTAACCAACACTTATGGAACCCAGATGGCCGGAAATTGCACTCTCAGGCTTGAAATTGAATATGTTTCAATTTTTCTCCATTTTTTTTAATTAAAAAAACAATTTAAGGGGCTTGGGCTTGATCCCCTTCCTCTTGAATTAACCACTGACTACAAAATGTATTCTGTATTTATTCAAATAAATGCCTCCCTCCATTTATATAATGCATAAACATTTAGATACTTACTGCCCATGTTCCAAGAAAATTAACAAATATATTTCCACTGAATTTTGCTGCCAACATCTGTAAAAAAAAAAATTGCAATGCTAACATTATTGTAACTGTTGATTTTGGTTATAATTGTTTAGTTCTCCATTGCTTCTGTTGACAGGATGCGAGGTTGAAAATTGCCAACTAAAACAGCAGTCCAACAAGCTAATCCCACCAGTGTTAATATACCTGCATTATATAGTTGTATTGACACTAAAAAGCCAAGAAACTTAAGCGGATTTGCAGGAAATAAAATGAAAAACAACAATAATGAAAAATGTATACATTTTAATAAAACCAGAGAATACTATCATATCATGTACAGTAGGTAACTAAAATCACTAAAGCAAGTTGATAATGCTAATCGCTACAAATGACATTAATAAAAAACAAAATTAATCACAGGCACAACGTTTTTGACCTAACTGAGTGTTATTCTACCTAATGATCAGTACGTTCCCATATACTTGAGAAAAAATATATTAAATTTCACGAAGCAAACCAACATTGGAATAGCATTGCAGTACTCGATGCTACTTGGTAAGTGCAGGTTCGGTAGTCTAGTCACTATGACACTAGCTAGTTATCTGGATGTTGTGGGTTTGATTCCTATTTGAATCACTTGGGATTTTTTTTTTAGAGAATTCAGTACAATAACACATCAGGTCAGTGCAAAAACATCACTGGTGCAAAATTTCCTGATACAAACCAGCATCGACATAACATTAATTATGAAAATAATAAAACATTATTAGTTATCAAAATGAAATTAAGATTCATAATCAGTTTGGTTTATTATGATTTTATGATTTTTTAGAAAGCATTGAAAGGGAGAAAGAAAAAAAAAATGGTTTTACCTGAGAGATAATATAAAGGTTGGAAACCAGGGCACTCTGCAGAATGATGGGAATGTTGGATGTATAAAACAATTTGATTGGATAAGAACTGTATTGTCCACGGTAACGTGAAGACTTGATTGGTAGATCAACTCTGAAGCCCTGTTAGACATATATAAAATATAAATTATCACAAGAAACAATTTTTGGCTTCTGTTGATGGAATGCGAGGTTGAAAATTGCCAATATAAATAGCAGTCCAACAAGCTAATCCCACCAGCGTTAATATACCTGCATTATATAGTTGTATTGGCACTAAAAAGCCAAGAAACTTAAGCGGATTTGCAGGAAAGAGTAACAGAGACTTACTATAATTTCCATGAATGTGCGTACAATTTTTTGCACAATTATAAACCAGAAAATGTTTTCATTTTAGCTATTACAATACCTTGAAACCAATGTCTGGTCCTTAAATTTAATACTGTTTTTTTTTTTTTTTTTTTGGGCTGTTGACTGGATGTGATATTATAAGTCACACAACATAACTCCACTAGCATAGAGATATCTACATTATATAATATTTTAGCCAAATAAAGCAAGGCAACTATTAATTTAACAAATGAGATATTTATAACATAAATATTACAAATACAATAGTTTTGGATAAAAAATGTGATTTGGAATGTAATAAGAATCACAATCCTGGTGTAATCTGAACAAACAAAAAAAAAACAACAAAAAGACGTGCTTACTTGGAAATATATCACAATCGCAAATACAAGGACAGTAGCTGTCAAGTTCATTAAATTTGGAAGGTTCTGTCGGTAGAAAGCCTCACGAAGTGCACGCACTTTGTCTGTACGTGTAGCCAGTAGATGGAACAGTGCAATTACAGCGCCCTCAAATTCAGTTCCTACAAACAAAAAAGATATTCTAGTGATTTTGTTGCAGACCTACAGTACTATAAATGCAAATTGTTGTTTGGCATGCCATCTATAAATATCAGCACTGGAAGCTTTTTAAGAAAGTAAAGACAACATTCATAATTGATACAGTTTGTTTCACATAGAGTAAAATTTGTTTATTACTTTGAAAAGGTTTTTATTCCACAAATCTTCAAGGAGAATGTATACAACTTGTTGACATATGAACATATCTGGCGATAGAACTCTTTAAGTTAAAGCCAGGCTCCAAAGGAAAACAATTGATATGTTGTAGAACTGATTTTTAGTTTAAAAGACACAAAAATAATATTTGATGAAAAGCTCTGAAGCGGTTAATGAGATACACATTTTTGAATATTTAAAACTGGGGGAAAGGGACATAACTACTTTTTTCCCCACCATTTCCCCCAATTTATAAATATTTAAAAACCTGTATCTCATTAACCGCTTCTAAGTTTATCATCAAATATCTTTTTTGTTTCTTAGAAAAATCATTTTTACAACATATCACAATTTTGTTTTCCTCCGGAGCATGGCCTTAATAATAAACTACCAAGATTGACTTGCCAAGTGTTAGGTAACCATAAAAATCTGCCAAAAATCTCTCAGTTTATGAAAGAATAAGTTACATAGTTATGAACTTGCCTCTTCCGGTGTTAACTGTGGCTGGACTGAATGCCCTCCAGACAATAGTCTCACAGATATTAGTGGCAATGAAGAGGGAGATACCAGACCCTAATCCATATCCTTTTTGTAGAAGTTCATCAAGCAGCAGAACAATAAGGCCAGCAACAAACAACTGTAAGAAATATTACGCATTTACTTATCATTAGTATTATAATTAACTTTATATAAATGCTCTTCCTAAACATACCAAGACTGCAACTAGCATTACCACCTTCATCAAATCCTTCACTGACTAGGCAGTGGGACTTAATGCATTATGTATACTGGTATCATGTTTCCATTCCATTAATACTGTAGTATAAATATTTCAGATTTTTTTATTTTGCCTTTATCACCAATTTCCAATAAAAATCATTTTAGTGAATGAATTTCAACGCCATAAAAGTACTTTCATCGATGATTGATTGATACATGCTCCAACACTACAGACCATGGCTTTATGGGGAGGCAATGGGGCATGTAAATTTAATTATAGTGTACATAAGTGTGACTGGCTCCATCAAAACCCAGCGTTTGTCGCAAAAATAAAAAATTGAGTTTTGGTATTTTTAAATTCTTCTTTAAAACAGTATTTATTTAATGGAAATTAGTTGAGTATTAGCAAATTTATGAACATTTAATTCATCAGATAGCAGCCATGTAGGATTAGAGAAAAAAGCTTCAAAGATTCCAAAATCAATAGCTTATTATTAGGATTTGAATTTTAAAAATAATTTTAGGATTTAGTGATTGATATTGTGCAGGAATGTTTAATCATCTTTTATATTGAAGAACGTTTTTGTTTTCAGGAACTAACACAAGCTACTTTGATTGTGATTGCTTGTGGTATGCGTGCCCATGTGTTTCAGTAATTGGATTGGATTCATTCGGTGTAAACACCAAGGACAGCCCACGAAAGTCTAGAAGACTTATTTCCAGTGGGGTCCTTCTGGTGGTGATTGGGCAGTACACCGGGAGACAATCCCCTACTCTTTTCCGAAGAGTGTACTGTGTTCTTTAACGTGCACATGGGCCAAAATGCACACGGGACCAACAGCTTAAACGTCTCATCTGAAAGACGGTGCGCTATTGTAACTTGTATTTCAGCCCTCCAGCTGAAACACAAGGAATGTAACAATCCTTACACTAGCTGCATGTATTATGAGACTATCAGTCAGTGTCATGTCTCTATGCAAGGAATGGACAAAAGAGACAACTAGAAAGCAAGTAACTTCCTTGCTAACACCTTGAACAAAGACATATTGTTCAGTACAATCAAGTTAGAGGAAATGTATTCATCCACCATCCAAGCAAGACACTGTGCTTAATGGTTGAGTATGTCACATGAAACAATTTGCCGCTTACACCACAAAGAAGCTTACTGTAAATGAGTACTTGTTTGTGAAAACATAACAGGTTTATTTTTTTCATAAATTTTATGAATTGAACAAAACTGTTGTCAGGCACTTTGTATTCTATACACTAGTGTAAAATAACACCCCATTCTTTGCACTTTCTCAATGAAAAAAAAACAATGTATTTTAGCAAGTATTTAAAACTATTTTTGATTTTAGGCTTTCGCCAAAATGGCTAAAGCAGTTGATTTTTTTTTTCACCAATCCAATATAGTTTTCGCCCATGGCGATTTGGCAAACGGTTAGCGTCAGCCCAGCTCTTAGAACCCTTATGGATGTAACAATATTTAGTACCGCAGCATGAAAATATTTTTTACCTGAATCATAATCAGCATACAGATCCCAAGACCAATGTCACTTGGATCCCCATACATTCCTGTCATCACATACACGATAGCCTGACCAATGGTAATGATCATACCAAACACTGCAAAAAATAATATTATATAATTATAATGATCAAAATGATGATGATAAATATACAGCATACAGGGTTGTAGCTGTAAAAATTAAGAGCAGGTGACAGACATTGGTAAATTCTAAATAATAAGAGTGGATTTTAAGGATGGAAGGGCCATGAAATTGGCTTATTGACTGAGTGGAAAATTTCAAGGCTGGGTGGTCCCGCCAACCTCCGCCCACCGTAACTACATCCCTGAGTATTTAAATCCAAGCTCACATGAATTATTGCAGTACTTTGATTTTACAGTTTTTTGAAAAATTTTGAATAATTATTACAACGCCATTGAATGTTGAAATTGATTATAAATTAATTATTATTCTTTTTATATTGATCATAAATTGTACTGCACTACACATCCTTTAAACAGTGTCCTGCTACTGTAGGTGCCTGCAGTGCCCGGCCATGTGTTACCTCACAAGTGTGCACGGCTGTAATTGGAACATACCTCAGATAAAAACGATTTCTTGCTTTATTACAAAATGGTTTATGCCAATTTACTGGTATAAATGTTTTTTCTTTCTTCATGTCTGGTTCAATGTTTTTCTAATTGTTTTCATGGTTTTTTTAAATAAAATTATTAATGACATTATCTCCACAAATTGTGTATTTTTAACCTATAATATATATAAAAAGAGTATGTTCATACAGTTCAAACCAAATTCAATGTAAATTAATTACTTTATCTTTTAAAATAAAATATTGTCAACTTACATTTTTGTGCACCATTAAATAGAGCCCTGTCTTTTGGTGTATCACCGACATCAATTATTTTTGCTCCTGCCAGAAGCTGCATAATAAGACTAGATGTAACAATAGGTGAGATTCCCAACTCCATAAGAGTTCCTATAAAAGAAGTTTAATAGTATTTAACTCACTGTGAACATAAATTAAGATGTTTTGAAGTACTGTATTTAATCAAATCTGTTGAAGAATGGTTTGTTGTGAGTAATATAACAGTTTAGTAGTAGTCCATATTAGAGAGAGATATTCTTTCAGTATAGCAGTGATAATAAGGGCAACCTGACAATGTACACAAGTAAATGTACTGCAATAAACAGCATTTAACAACATCTAGAAATAATTAGTATAAATTAGTGTGCTTAATTTCCTATTAAGATTTAAAAAAAAGTAATTTACAATTTGCACATTACATAGCTTGTACATATGTAATCATTTAAGATTACTTTCTATTAACACTAATCTTGGCTGGACACTACATAGATCCTTGCAATCTGTGGTTTTTCCAGTGTTCTTTTGTTTAGACCCTGAAATTGGCTGCTAACCAATTCAAGAATTTTTGTAGTAAAACCTCAGTAAATTGACAATTGAATTATTGGACGATAATAACTTATTTGATCCTTTTAAATTAGCTACTCAATTTTTTTGTATTGAATTTCAGATTATTCCCAATTATTTTTGAACACAGTACATCTGTAACATACTTTGCTTTTTCATCAATCAAACTGAAACAGATGGTTGACTGTAACAAAGACCCAGCATTTGGGTCTAAGGGAAGAGTACAAAAGACACAATTCACTTTTCCGCTAAGCCCTGCCCCTTGGATATTGTTACCAAGGTCCCACAAAGCAACAGTGTTAAAAACACACATAAACATGTGCATATGTAGAACAACATGTGTGTTTGTGATACACGCGCATATTCCTGGCCCAGTTTTGATTGGTCACTTGTTAAGATTCATTGACACTCTTGAAAGGTCTATTGTTTTCCAATTGAAATTCTATTTTGAATGTGAGGAGCCTACCTCTGTTTGAGGCCATTATTACTCTCAGCCAGTAAAATGGATCAGCAGAATCGGAGGACATGATGCCAAACAATGGGATCTGAAGAAACACAATAAACAGAAAACACACTTAAAAATGAATTAAATTATTGTTTTAGGACAACTTTATATAAATGACCTAAAGAGATAAAGTAAAATAGAAAGTAACATTAAAAACCTATAATATTAAGAATATCACAAATACAAATTGTTTTGTATATTTTATACTTTAGTACTTAAAAAATATATTAGAAATATACACGTCACATCATCAGCCATTATTCATTTTTTAACTTAAGGATAACGTAAAACCTCAAATAGAAGCCTAATGGGCAAAATCTCAAGAAGAGCCCCTCTTTAGTATGCAAAGGTAGCCTCAAAAAGAATTCCTAGCATGGGCATTTTTTTTTTCCAGATAGTACAGCACATACACTGTACGTGAATTTCAAAGAAACAAAATAAATTAAAAACAAGCTTGGTTTACACAGTAGCTTAGTTGAGTTAATGCCGGTTAATACACTCCATGATACAGATTGATGTTACAGTTAAGTGGCCCTATTTATTGTTTTATAGTAGTAATTCCCAAAATTTTAGCATTCATTTTGAAAAGGAGCACCTCTCTTCGCTTTGAAAAAAGGTACAGTAGCTTCGAATAGATGCCCATCTCGAAAAGAAGCGCAGGGCTTCAATTCGAGGTTGTACAGTATTACATCATCAAATGCCCTGAGGTCTTTTGTGTTCTTGTGTTGAACATGCATTAATGCACATTTTGTTGCTTGCGTGCCATGAAATAGTGTGTTTTTTACTGATGTTGAAATTAAAATAAAGGATTTATATGAAGTTCATACCTGACAACAGACCAAGAAGATGAATAGCGTAATTGCAGTCCATAACACTTTCTCCCTAAATTGAATCTGTAAAATAAATTCACAGTTAACATCAAATTGACAACTTAGTGCTTACTCCAATCTACAGAGCTCATACCATTAACAATTAAACTAGTTTCAATAAAATCGATATAGGCTGTCAGTGACTTTTGGTATATATACAATTTTATGTAATTGTTATCTCTCGATCAGTGACCACGGCGACTAATATCTATTACCAGGCATAGGCCTAGAAAACTTATAGCCCAATGTTGTTTTGCTAGGCATAGTTGTTCATACACTTAATGTACATTTTTAAACATCCATGTTACAAAACGGTCTATTGTTTGAACAATTTGCCATATGCATTAGCTTTCTTTTTAAATATATAATCTTTAAAATTCTTTATGATGTTTTCATATACAATCTGAAATATTTGATTCATATACAATCTGAAATATTTGATTCATATAGCCTTTATTGAAATTAGGCATCACCGTGCAAGAAAATCAAGCACAATGATCGTTTCGAGGAGAAGCTGATGAGGTTTAGTGAATTCGGCAGATGATTACGATTTGTCGCAGACTAGTCAGGAAGGCTGAAACCGGTTCAACTTTGCAGATAATGTTAGACAACCATCCTCAATTGCGCCTTGGACAGCTATGTCGTGTAGCAATTGCTGTAGCGATAGTGTAGTGATTTTTCTGAAACCAGGCTCAATGTCTGAACTCACATCTAGTAAAAACTACAGAATGCACAATAAACTAATGCATTTGTAGTAAAGTGTAATTTAAACAATTTGTTTAGGCTCAAAATATTAAGTAATACAACATATTCATATTCTAAGGTTGAGAAAACCTCCCTATTTAGTTAAATCAATATAAAATCACAAACAAAATTTGCTTTTCATTATAATTTACACCTGTAACTACAAAAATTACCTTTCGTTCTGGCTTAGCAATTTCTGGCAATACTGCACAAAAAGGCTTCAGCACTTCCAAAAATTTAACTATGAATAAGAAAAGGAAATTTATTAATTTAGAATAATTCATTATTAATCTGATTTCTTGATTTTTTATTTTGAAGTAGAGGGCAATTCCATGGAAATATTGTAGAAAAATGATAAAATGTATTTTTTGTTTTGTTTAAACAAATACACTAACCAATAGTGGTGAAATGATAAAGGGAATAGAATCTTGGGGCATCTTTTACATACTACTGTACACACTCTAAACAAGGATAAGTAGGCCTACTATTGTTATCAACACAAGCACACAGAAGTATATTTCTAATCAAGTTACTAAAAAACAGAGTACCTTTATCATGTTTTCAACTACTGTGTAGTTTATTTGATGAATTGGGATGGGTGGGGAGGGGGGGGGGGGGGGGGGGGTGGTCAATGACAAAATTTGGTAATGATTTCAAGCAGTTTATATGCTCCTACTCTACATAAATGAAATTTGTCTTGCTTTTTATTAACATCATGTTTCTGTCTTTAATTGGGATCTTTGAAGTTCACTTAAGTTAAAAATCAATGTTATCTATTTCTTACACCATTTTAAAGATTTGAAGATTTGAACTGTAGGATGGTGTCTTCAGAAGCTAATAATTCCGGGCCAAAAATACATTTATTATACAGTAGTTTACAATTTTTAAAAAAGGAAGTTGATATATTTACGTGATTGTAAACAAATCAATAAACGATATATATTTACGTGAAATAAGTAATGCTTGTTAATGTGAATTTAACCAAAGAATATAGTATACTGTAGCAATATCATGCTGTGCTTGTGTCTATGATGTATGGATGCAGAGAGCATGGAATAAACAGCCTCGCTCAGACTTGCGAATCAATCACCTACTGTATACAGTTACTGATTGAATTAATACTACTATAGCAAATTTAATTACGTTTAATAAGAAAGGTAAAATTATAATTAAAAACCTTCTGTATTTACGAACATCAAACCTTCCAGTCGTAAATTGTTTACAAAAATTCATTCAACCAATTTGGGGATTCCCCACATGCGTTAATTTGCCGTCGATATGATTGTGTGTTGTTGAATACAAAAATTTGTTTGGTCAAGTCAATGTAATTTAACATGACTATAAACACTTACACGTTTGGGGAAGATTTGATTTTTTGTACACCGTGGATACATGGTACAGTACATTTATAAATTTAACTTGCCAACAAAAGGGCCTCAGTGCCATGGTGAGCTTGGCACCGCAGCTTGGGCTGATGCTCATGTTGAGTGCTGAAAGTTGAACTCACACATACATTTAAACAGAATCAATCAATTTATGTGACCGATAATGCAAGTTCAATAAAGTATGACTGCGTTATATGTTATTTATTTCACGTAAATATATCATTTACTGATTTATTTACGGTCACGTAAATATATCCACTTCCATTAAAACTTTGTATTTGAGGGATTTATTTTATTTTAATTCTATACAGGTATTTAGCCACACTTATAATATCAAATGGTTAGGGACAGCCATGCCTATGCAATACAGAATGAATTATCTGGAGCACTACTGCAGTGGATTTGTGCGCTTTATAAATATTATTAATATTATTATCTACAGTAACTCTGCAGGCCTACTGTAGGAGGCCTACATCATATTATTATTAATATTTATTATTATTATTATTATTTTAACATGAGGTTGTTAATGCCTCTAGTTTGAACCAATTAAAATCGTTATTGAACACTCATTGGAAGTACATAAATAACATTTAAATTCGTTTTTACATATCTTTAATTTAACATTTTTTCATCATGACATGACTGGATCCCCCAACCGTCATGTGTGTCAAGAAGCGAATTTGTCAAGACGTTTGATGGGTCTTATACTGTAAGTCTGTATGCTACAAGCTTTTCATCGACCCACTATCATCAAGCAAGTATTATTATTATTATTATTAATAATTAATATCAACTTGAATATAATAACTGTAGCAGAAGGGTCAGTTGTCCCTTCTTTTCTTCATATTTATTATTATAATATTATTATTATTATCAATCATCATCATTACAAACTATACTGAAGGCCTAGAAGGGCCAGATATCACTTTTTTTTATGACATTATGTGTACGCCCCAACCCAGGTGTAGACCCTAGGCCTAACAATTCGTTTAGATTGATATATTTACGAAATAAATAAAAGTGTGTCAAACTGTACATACAAGCGAAGCACTTAAACGGAGATAATTTTGAATTCAATCAATTCCTGAACGATTCCAAAAAGTTAGGGTCCTGTTGTTTCTACCTAGGCCTAGGCGGAAGGCCTACATTATTCTAAAAGGCAGCAAGGTAACTAATACAATAATTAACACAGCTAGGCTAGCCTAGGCCTAGTAGTTGTTGATGGATAGTGCGACGTGTCACTTATCCATCATACAGTCACCGCAAAAGCTGGAACAGAACTCAAACAACAATATGGTTATCAAGTTCTGTAAGGTAAAAACAAGTTAATTGAATCTAAAAATACAGATTTTTCTAACAAGACAATTATTACATACCCATATTGAACACTTTCAATTAAAACAATCGTAAACTACACTCTTGGAATTCGTTGAAATTCGACTTTTATTTACTGAAGAAGAACAGCCTGCTACCCATCTGATAGCCGACAAGGGAAGAGAAAATGGAAAAGAGATGTCACGTGACCAACACGTTTACTAAAGGAGGACGCCACCATTGACAGAAGTCTGCTGGGCATGGTGTGGTTGATATGGAAAATGGTACAGTACGGCTGTGCCATCTCTCGATTACACACTTGATTTGCGGAGATGACGGTCATTTCGAACTACAAAAACACTAAAAAATGTAAAAACCACACACACACACACACACACACACATATATATATA